CTTGCACATACCCCCACTCTTCCATGAACCCTTCAATTTGTATTATATATACATTTCCTACACTCACAGCGGAACATCTACATCGACATCTTCCATGCAAGCATTGCCAGCATGTCAATCCCACAATAAAGTTGATACCTACCTGCCGAATCTACACTTGTTCCACACGATTGGCTTAGATATATCGATCGGTATACTGACACCAAACAGTGTCAATCATTGAACATCCGCTCCGGCACAGCAAACTAAAGATCCCCATATAACCAACGAGGACAACAAAGATATTGAGCAAAATGTTATGTCTCTATTTTATGTCCACATAATGGTAGGGGCATATTCCATCCCGGATTATTGAAACAGTTACACAGCACTGCGCTCTGTACCAAACAACATGGGCCTAAAGAAAAGAAATGTAAGGAAAGAATGAAAGAAGGGGATCAACGAACTAGAGTTGAAAGAATTACTTTTCCTTCCGTTCTTATTTCCAATGCCACGTACACTTACTTTTATGTGACTGCGTAAGGAAAATATATCATGGCTCTGTCTGATAGGAATTCAGAGTGATGACGCGGAACCAAATCACACATGGTAGGACATAGAGGAAGAAGGTATGAGAAAAGGGCAAAAATACAAAGCTGAAGCCTTTTATTAAGAGGGTTTTCTGATCCCTGTCCGGACGTGTTGAAGAAGAGAGAACCTCAGCCAAATAAACGCAGGAAGAAAGCAATGCGTGTAAACAGAACTCAGCAGAAGCCAACTAGTTGGTGCTGTAGAAAGTTATTATCTTGAATTGAAATCAATCAATAAAAGACATGCAAGACATTTGATCTCAAACAGTCAAATAGAAAGGTGAAAGATTGTTTGAAACATTACTATCACCATGATCAGTCAGAGCTCACTGGGAAACCTGCAGTTAATTCTCAATTTAAGTCAGCATGACAAAAAGTCAAGTAAGAGAGGGGCGAAAGGGCAAATATTGACTTCATGTCTCAATCTCTGCTCTCTACCTTTGACCGACTAGGTGTTTTTCCTTCCAAAGGTGTCAGACACGATATTATAGTAAGCTATCCTGAGGGAAAAAAAAAAAAAAAAAAGAAAGAAAGAAAGAAAGAAAGAAAGGTGTTGAGGAGCAAAAATCCATTCAATGCCTTTAAGAAAAGAAAAGAACATAAAAATCCGTCATCAGAATCATCGCAGTATGAAAAACGAAAGCCAAAAACTCCCAACATAAACCGCACACACCCCCTCTGTGTTTATTTGAATGCAGCTCACCAGCGACAAAACAACAGTCTTCACTTTATTGTAGTTGCTTTTATTATCATTGTTCATTTCGATCTATACCCCCTCCCCACCTCCTCCATCTACATTTCACTCCCCTCATCCGCTGCACCCGCGATCCCTCCAATCTCCCTCCTCGTCAGTGCTCTCATCAATAAACGGACCTCTCCAAACACTTTCCCGCCCCTCAATATCGCCCAAGTCCCTCTTGCGCTTCCGTGGAGAAGTGGTTAGCTGAGAGGGAAGTGCGGGGTGGATCATCTTCGCTCCCCCCGCCTTTTCTCCACCCTGCGGCATACCGGAGGGTGGTCTGCAGCTAATTCTGAGACTAGAGCTGGGATGGCTGTTGGCGCCGAGAGGCGCTCGTTATATGCGGGTGTGAGCTGGTCGTCTGGGCCAATGGGGACGAAGAGGGGGGAGTGGAGGTTGTGGGCGGAGGCCGGATCTGTGGTTCGGCTTTGGCAGGGATCGAAGGCAGCATCTTCAAATAGGCTTATGGCCGTGTTGATGAGGACATCGATCCGTTCGCGGGACTCGGGAGCCAGGTCGCTGTAATAGCGGCGGTTCTTGTCTATGTCTCTGGCATTTTGGCAGCTTATCCCCATAGCAACCCCTTCACCTCTGGAGTCGTTCTCGTCCTGGCTGGTTAGGGAGCTATAGGAGTATCGACGAGCAATCGGTAGCGCGCGGTCAGTTTGATATGCTGGCAACTCATTCGCGCCATTGCAATCCTCAGAGCCGGGGTCTGGGATGTCGCTGCTGTATGAGTACACGGGGCAGGCGGCTTCCCCTGTCTGACCTGCTCGCTGGGAGGTATCCAAACATCTGTTTTTGCAGTGTAAGGCAGAGGGAGAGCCACCATGCTTGTCGATCGAATGGATCGAAAGGACATCGTCAGAATCATCAGTCTTTATCGTTGTGTCGTTGTTTTTATTTTCTGATACTATTATGATATCGGAGTTATTGTCCTCGATATCGTTACTTTCATGAGACATCTGGTCATCGGTATCTTCTACTCCATCCTCTTCATCATCTCCATCATCCACATTCTCTTCATCTACCGCATTAGGATTGAATACGGGTCCCTTGAACACCCGCGTGACCATATGCTGCCCGCCGCCCCTATTAAGCCAGCACGGTGTGCAAATCTGGAATCCACAAGTCGTGCAGCGTTGCAATGTGGCTTTATTATGCTTGTTGCATTTGTCGCACTTTGCCGTGTGGATGAGAATCTCCTTGAAATTGGTATGTGCTGCTGTCGTTGGCGGATAAAAGGGTGGTGGTGCGATGCTTTTTGATGCTGTTGGAACCGGAGTTGGTGTTTTGACGCGTATCAATGGGGGAGGGAGAGAAAGAGGAGATACTTTTCTGCCAGGAGTTTTCTCTTGAATATCCAAGCTAGAGATCTCGGAGCTGGAAGGCGGTGGAGATAGTGTAAGGGGTATTGTGCTGGATGCGCGGTTTTGTGAGCTTGATCCAGCTTGATGGAAGAGTGTCCCACGATAGGGGGAGAATGGAGAGGTCTTTCTTGAAGATTTTTTCAAGAGGGAAGAGGTTTTCTCTGCTTCCATGGTTGCGAGTTTGTTCGGTTCAGCGGGGGTTTCTAAGAAGAAACGCGATATAGATATTTCAATTGATATCTGCCTTCTACTCAAAGAAGATGAGGACAGAAGACAAAAGTCGAATGCAAAGGGGGTATGAAGTTTGCTAGATGTTGAACGGAGAGATATTAGTAGGATATGTTGGACAATATGGTAGCCACTGGTTTTCTATCAGAAACAGTCGGAGATGGTGGAATAGTTTCAAACCATCAAGAAGATCAAGAGTCTGCTGAATTAGAAAAGCATCCAAATGGCAAACTGTTTGAGAAAACCAGCAACACCGTCCCGGGATTGTTCATTCACTGTTGGCTTCTTTTAAACAATGTTGTGGTACGTTCCTTGAGAATGAAGAAAGCAGAAACCAAAAGCAGACAAGGAAACAATCTTCTTTGAACAGTAAGATAGCACAAGAGAAAAGGATAGGGTATTGGCAAGCATATAACACAAGAACCTCAAATCGTCGAGGACAAAGTTCGAGCAACCTCCAACCCAACGATCGATCGTGTTAAAGCTGCGAACTATCCAAAGTGTCTGGAATAGTTAAATAAAGCAGAGGAAACAGACTGCCACAGGTATTCTCCACGAGAAAAGCCCTCTGTAAAATACGCTTCAGGCGTCGATGATAATGGCACAGGAGCAACCCTCGAGGGACAGATTGATAGACGCTGTGGATGAAACTGGGTCTTCGTTCGCAGACAAGGACAGGGACAAGAACAAGTTGATATAGATGTAGAGTACGAAAATAATAGCGACATGTCAGTGTATGTATGAGGAAGAAAGAAGGGCATGCGCAGGAGAGGACGAACAGCTTAAATAGATCCATTATCAGGAGCATATTCACACATATTGTCTACCAGGAGATGCGTCTTCCCCAACGAGTGAGAGTGACAGTCCAAAGGGGTCCTGTATATTCTCAGCGTCAAGAGTGGCGGCAAAGAAGAGGAAGATCAAAGGTGATGCGGATACAGTGACTGCTTTATATCAGGGCGTACACAGCCAAGTCATTGGGCTGTTTTCATTCATATCATGGCGTGTGTTAAGGAACAAACCAACAAGGAATCCAGCAAAAGCGACAGAAAGGTATAACTATAGAATACAGAAAAAAGGCGGCGAGCCTCCTCTCATCCCCCTCTTCTCGAGGAGGCAGAGATGGCCTAGCTCGCAGGCCAGAACTGTGCGTTGAAAACACTGGTGGCCGTTGTAAGTCACGCAACCGGAACCCACAGGTTCTATTTAACATAATGGCACATCCATTGGTCATGGCTTTTTAAGGGAACGGACTAGAAGAGGATTTGGTCAGATACAGCCGGCGTCGATGGATGTAAAAAGTACCCTCTCAGCTTCTCACTCTGGTTTCGAAAACATGTATATGGATCCTGAGGTTGATTTCCATCTGGCCTGACAAATAGCTTTAATGAAGAAAATGGAATTTCATGTCGTTGCCGGAAGTTTGACCTTCAGAAATTGATTGAGGGCGCTATTGATGCTGCTGGTGATTGAGCAAAGACAGAGTTGTCAGTCCCACCCACTCTTTAACCATAGTTCTGTACTCTTACCCGTGAATTATTTGTCTACCTACCCGCCTACCAACTGCCTGCTTGATATTCGATTGATTGCTAATAGAATAGAGAATGCTAGCTATCCGCCTACCTACCAACCAATCTGCCTGCTCAATATCCAATCAATCTCTATGAGAATAAACATCACCATCTAGCAACCCACCTAGCTGACTACCTGCCTTCCTGCCTGCCTATCTATCTACTGACCTGGTTGGATGAATGATATCCACTGATGATATCTATTGATGATATGTATCGATGATATCTTCTATGATATCTGCGATGATATCTACCAATCATGAGGATTCTCACATTGAGGTATTTCAGGATACACCCTCTGTGTGATAAGCAGTCAAAGAACCCCTCCCCAATTTCCTAGTTCGCGGCTGTAGAAAAGTCAGGATTATGTACGTGGTTCTACAGCATGAGAAGAGGGACGCAAATGCGCCTCCGTAAGGAGCCGGAAAGGAGGCGCACCAACGCACCCATGAGCGCGACCTCCAGTGTGAAGCCAGTGAAAAAAATCTGTCTCCGTTATCGGCAGAAGAACTACCAGGGAGCCTACAAGAAGAATGACACACATTAAAATATTTTCCCTATTTGAATTCCCGCCCTTGCATCGCTCACCTCAGACGTTCCCAGACATTCAACCAGACACCATTCTTTCTTAGGTTCATTAGGTTAGGGGGTCGTGCCGGGCCAGAATTTTGCTCTTCCTCTCTGGACGACGGTGTCGTTGGGAATTGAAGTCCCATAAAAAAGAAAGTGAAATATATGTTATTTTGGGAGCTGCAGTTCATTCATTATGGGGAGTAGAAACATATATCGTAGAGGTATTGCTTTTATCTTTTTTGATATGAAAGCCATGTATTATAGGTAGAGTGATAAAACAGCTGGAGATGTTGCACGTTGAAATTTCGTAAGATATTCCTGAATATACCTCGGAAATTCAGAAATAGAAAAGTTGATAATATTTCAGGTCCATGGTGATTGAAAACTATGAATGAGCTGATATCTAATTTCCAACCAACAAGCCTTAGTTATAGGCTGCATCAGTTTGCAACCCTTCTAATGCCCCAGTAGTCATCATCACTCATTAAATTGGTACGTATTTTTCTTTCCCAACGTTTATTTATGTGCTAATGTAACGAATGTAAGTGTTCGCGAAATATTTAAAGCATGGGTAAATGGGATTGTGTAGGGTTAAGGCTTACGAATTCCCTCAACAGGCAGCGGCTCAACACCAACAACCTCCGCCGCCAACTTCTCCCCTTTCGCACCTGCATGCTTCTCCTCTTTCATGAACGGGAACGCAAGCACCTCCTTGATACTATAATTATCAGTCAAGAACATCACAAGTCTGTCGATGCCCATGCCCCAGCCCCCAGTGGGCGGGAGACCGAATTCCAAACTCGTGCAGAAGTTCTCATCGATCAGCTGCGCCTCGTCGTCACCCTGAGCCTTCTGGGACGCTTGCTCTTCGAATCGAAGACGCTGGTCAAAGGGGTCGTTCAACTCTGTGTACGCGTTGACGATTTCCTTCTTGCACACGAAGGCTTCGAAGCGCTCACACAGCCCGACGTTATCGCGATGGTATTTGGCCAGCGGAGACATCATCTGCGGATGCCCGGTGATGAATGTCGGGTTGATGCAGGTCTCTTCGATGAATTCTCCGACAAGCTTATCGAGCATGCGGGCGTTGGTTTCTGGCGGCGTGCATTCGATATTGACTTTCTTCAGGAGCTTCTTGAGGAACTCGTTTGTCTCCATGGTATGCAGCTGATCACCGGAAGGGAACTTCTCGCCCGTAGCTTCTTCAAGGGCAGGGATCATCTCAATTCGCTTCCATGGAGCCTTCCAATTAACCTTGAATTCCTCGCCCGTCTGGGTATGGAATGTAGTTTCATAGCCACCAGTGATATGCTTTACGAGCCCAGAAACAAGTTCCTCGGTCACGTTCATGATATCGTAGACATCAGCGTATGCCCAGTAGAACTCGCAAGTGGTGAATTCCGGGTTATGAGTGAGATCGATGCCCTCGTTTCGGAATTGACGACCCAACTCGTAAACTCGTTCCAAGCCACCGACAATCAGCATTTTGAGATAAAGCTCCGGAGCGACACGCAGGAACATGTCCATGTTGAGGTCGTTGTGGTGCGTAATAAATGGCTTCGCAGTGGCACCGCCAGCAATAGTGTTCATCATAGGAGTCTCTACCTCGACGAAGTCGCGCTCGTCGAAAAAGCGGCGGATATACGAAATCATCTTGGACCGGGTGACGAAGACATTCCGCGATCTGTCGTTCATAATCAAATCCAGATACCGTTGTCTATAGCGCTGCTCCTGATCCCGAAGCCCATAATGTTCCGAGGGGATCTGATGCAGACACGGTGCGAGCAGCACCACTTCCGTAGCGAATATCGACAGCTCTCCATCCGCGCGGTTCTTCGGGGCAGTGCGGCCTGGAAAGCCAACAATGCCCACAATGTCTCCTCTTCTCAGATGTTCATGTTGGTCCTCGAAGGGGATGTCTCCCTTCACATTCTGCGCTTGGCATGCGACTTGGATCTTCACGCCCTCAGCACGAATATCGTAGAAAATCAATTTGGCCCCGGCCGACCGCTTGGTATAGATCCGTCCCGCGATGCGCAGTTCCTTGTCCTTGACCTGGTCACCCTTCTGCAGCGACTCGTACTGCTTAATGACCTCTCGTACATCATCCGTGACCAGGAACTTATGTGGATATGGGTTGGGGCTTTTAGTCTGTCGGAGTTTATTCACTCGTCCACTTCGGATCTCGAAGTATTGCTATAACATATGAATGAAGTTGTTAAAATTTTATAAATCAACGCCAACCTCGGCCAATAATTGCGCTCAATAGTGACTCTGAGAATACCCACGTTAGGCGTCAAATTGCTCTCTTCTTCCTCAGCACTGGCCTTCTTCTCTGGCTTGGGGGATGCGGCAGCGGCCCTCTTCTCCCTTTCCGCTTCCTTAGCCCGATGCTTCTGTCGTTTCTTCAATTCCGACTTAGACACGTGCTCACCGGTGACTTCATCAAGGTGCAGGTTTGCGAGATTGTCGGCAGCGGCATCGGTAGCTGGCCCTTGATCTGGTCCCCCCATTGTGTCGGTAATCAGGGCAAGAGGCGGGGAATCGCAAAATGTGTATTGTCTGTAAGATAAGCCCACGGGATCCGATAGTGTTTTGGGTACTAGTGAAAGGTACTGCAATGTGAACAATCTGTGTGAACTCAATTGATTGTGGAGTGAAAATTACCTTTGTGATGGCGGGGGTTGCGGATTGTTGGAGGGGTTCGGTTTGGGTGAGTCACAAAATTTCCAGTCATTGAACTATTTTTTATGTTGGCCCTGTTCAACTACAATATTTGTCGTACCAGCAAAGGCACACCCCCATTGTCTGACGATGACATGACAGTGTACTATAATTGATCCAGCCATTACAATTATACGAATCTCTTAGATGCGAAGTGGCCATTGACCCCTAAATAGGAGACAATATGCATGTAAAAGCAGTATTTACGAAGGGTTCGATACATATATGTATGACATGGCGATATTTGGGGACGCAAGTTACATCTAGAAACATGTCACAGCAAACTAACTTACTATTAGCAGCTCTCCAGCATAGAGAACATTAACTTGCGGGCCTCCAGTGGCTGGTGCCGCGCAAACAAAAGAACACCCAAACCAATAGTTACTGTAGCCGAAAATAGGTAACCTCGACTCGCCCCGAGACATCGTCCCAGCATGAAAACACTAGATAGAATTCACCCAGACCCAATCAACGATACGTAGACCCGAATTCACCAAGAGTACAAAACCCACTTCCTCTCCCCCTTAATAAACACAGCATATCTCCGACAGCAAATGCCATCCCACACCATCCACCATCAGCGACACTTAACATTTGAGAACAATCCATACCTGCCCAACATTCAACATGGACAGTCGGCCATGTCAGTCAAATCGGCCATGTCCGCCATGTCAACATCGTCCTCAACAGTCATCAAGGAATCCATCGCTTTCTTGAGTTTATCTTCCTCCTTCCTTAAATTGAGGCGGCGCTTTTGGCGCTCGGGGTCTTCGACCATGAGTTCCACGCAGCGCTCGGAAGCTAGGTATAAGGTGTATACTGCGTTAGCGATTTAATTACATAGAGTGGATAGAATGTAGCGTCCAATCATGGCCGTCACTCCTAAAGGTGATTTGGTAAGTTGGGAAGATATATGCGTTAGTATACGTACCGTTATCATCCAATATTCCAAGTTCTTTAATGATGGTAGGTCGTAGTTCTTGGTCGCATTTGAAAAACAACTTCGTGTGGACGCTTTGGCAGAGTGTGTCAACAAAGCGAGAGCTTGCGACATCGTAGTACGCCCTGGAAATCTGCGTGGGGATAATACAGCATTAGTTCAGTACTATTACATATATCGGGTGGGAGGAGGAACGGGGCTAGATAATCGCACGGCCATGATTTCAATTTCCTTAGCGTATTCATCCTCCCCCATGTGGGCATCGGAGATTCCGCTTGGGGCAACTCTTCTTCCACCTTCTATACAATCTCCGCCCTCCAAAAATAAAGTTACCCGGACTGATTTGCGTTTCGTTCTTAGAGAATCTAGAGCTTCCCTCTGGGCGCTCTGAAAGGTGGCAGTGGCCATGGTGAAAGGCTTCATCTGTTCAGCCTGATAGAATTCATTGGCGAGACGGAGGTGAGGATTCTTTAAAGTTTGCAGAAAATTGGGAATAATCTCCCTCAGTTTCCCATACAACGCTGTACGCTGGTACGAAGAAAACACAATGTTCAATTGACCTATGAGGAAAGCTTCGATCAACTCATAACTAGCAGTGAGGAACTCTTTCATGGGTTGCTCCCAATGCATAACACTCAGCTTGTTCATTACTTCAACGGCAAGGGGGTTTGCAAGCCCAGGAACCCCAGAAGCATAGGTGTCGCTGCTGATCTCCCTAACCTCTTCAAGCCTGAAAGTTTTGACGGGGCCTATCGCTTTAGGTCAGCAATAATAAAATGAAAGGATAAAACATTACTGCTGACCACTAAAATAATACTAACCTTTAAATCTACCAAAGCATTCAGTTGAATATGCCTTTAGACTAGCCATCAAGGGGGGAGGCATATACCTCTTGACGCCGCCTTGAGGCTCCGCTGTGTCTGCTTTACGTTTGTTGGGAGACGGACGGCTCTCAGTGATTTCGCAATCATTCTCTTCATCACTTCTTGTTGCAACTTCGCCTGGTCGATTCGCCGCTGCCTCCCTGGCAGGGAACTTTTCAACTAAAGCTGACAGCCGCATCGCAGGTCGAGTCACCAACAAGCTGTACTGGAAATCGGTAGCAATCTTCATCCACTGCTTTTGGAGGGGGTAATCTGAGCCCGGTGACCCACCGTTCATGTGGACATGTATGGCGTTATTGAATTCATTCAATTTATCCGACAAAATAAATTGAATATTGGCTGAGGGGGGATCAGGAAGGGTCATTAGCTCCCTTTCGACTTCTTCTGCTCGAGTTTTGATTTGTTCCCTAATACAAGGCAAACTGAGCTCAATTTGCTGTTTCAAAAGCTTCGACAGCGCCATTTGCAAGTTCCGCGTGCCAAATCTTGTGCTGTACTCAACAAGCTCACTTCTCCATGGCCCGGCACTAAAAAACTCCTCCTCCTCCTCCCGGGCTTGGGCATGCTCAACCTGCGAATTGGGGTTATTGTGAACAACATAGTAGCCATGGCCAACAGTGAACTTTTCACCCCGAAGGATCTCCTCCCATTGGTTGTAGCCTTCACCGTACCCTACACGATCTGGCTTTGTGAGAACCCCCAGCGTCCTAGCAGTGGCCCCAACCTCTCTGATTATCCTTGCAGCACTGGAATTAGTTGCATCATCAGTCATAGGAAGGGTCAACAAGACAGTACAGCTGCTTGTTGAGATGTATTGCTTGACAAGATTTTCAACAATAGTTACCAAGTATTTTTCCTCTTCAACCTCAGCAACATTGATAACACCAGGTAGATCGTAGAAGGAGAGGTTGGGGAAGTGGGGAGCAGAAATATCCAGGCGAACGACATTGGGGGAGAACTTGACTTGAGTGGTTTCATCTGTTCCCGTGTTTTGACCAGGGATGTAGTTCTCGTGAGACGTCGATGGATTGAGCGTGGCTAGTTGGGCCCATTTTAGTGCATCTTGTACACCGACTTTGTCGGTTAGGTTCACGAAGGGAATAATCTCGGGCTCCTGCTCAACCCAAGGCCCTAAGTCTTTGCTTTTCCCTCCACGCTTGATCAACTGGGTGCTGTAAATGTACTTTTTCATCAAGAATATTTTGCAGGACCACGGCCCATCCAGTTGGTCTGAGAGATTGATCTCCAAGGGACAGCGAGTACAACAGCCGGCACTCCTAGGGACCTTTATCTCGCTCATACCTTCAATGAGCGAGCTTTTTCCAGTGCTCTGGTCTCCCACAACACAGATTTTTGGGAGGGGGAGTTTATGGTTTTCAATCCCCAGATGGCGAAGGTCTTGGATCTTCTTCACTAGGGCTTTCATTGTCCTAGATATCACATCAATGGAGTTGTTTCCCTTCCCAATCGGCTGATTGCTATCACTGTCTGACTCGATATCTACGTGTAAATTAGAATCGCACAAGTGCAGCACGAAATATGAATCTCATACCCGAGGAATCAGGAACATGGTTCCTGAAAGGAACCTGGTGTTGGCCCATGATAGCATGTATCACCCAGAAAAACTGTGATAAAGGAACGGTGGATATGAGTATGCGAAATGAGGTGGGAAAATTGGTAAGTCAAGGCTATAGAGTCGGTTCGGGGAAATTCTTGCGTGGGCTAATTCTTAGGAACTTTGCAGGAAGCGAAACAGAATTGACGGAGTAAAAGTAAATAATGGAGCAATAGTTCCGGCACAGTGAGTCTGCTTGTCCTCTCTCTAGCCTGGTAGAAAGAAGACAGGCGTTCAAGAGGGTGCTCTTTGAGACGAGTTTAGAGAAGAGAAGCAAAGTTCGGCGGAGGCTGCCTTTTAACGATACAACACTTCAGGGACAGAAGTGAATGAGAAAAGAAAGCAACAGAAATACGTAAGCCCACTGCCATTGGCCAGTGCTGTGGGATAAAAGAAAACAGTGGTATCCCAGAGTGTTGTGTTCCTGGATACTGAATTTGGGGATATCTTCACCGTTCGTTGTCATGTTAGGGACCTGCTTTGCTGGCGTACATAGGCTATGTCCTGGCAGAGATATCTCCAGAAACAGGTCGAAGTGAATTCCACAATAAATCCGACATAATTGAAAGTCTTGCATGTAAACAATCTACACTGTGCATCAAGAAGGACCTGGATAGGTCGCATGCTTCCCCTAACAATACAGAGGAGAAAGAAAATTGATGTCGAAAATTGCCAACCTTGGAACTCCAGCTGGATCACGGGATTTCTGGCATTGCCCTAGCGGGGAAACGACAAACAAATCAGTCTCAGGTCGAACATTGGAACCTCGCTCCGAACACATCATACTCTGTTTCATAGAACTACAGGAAGACAGGAGAGGGAACAGCGGGCAGTGGCAAGTCCTTTTGACCATAACAGTGTTGGTGATCCCAGTTAGTTTATGTCCATAACTACATGCCTTTCTTCTTATTGTGGCTTGAATTTCTTTCATCTCTTCCCCCTTGTGTATTGCTCCCCCGTTTGTCTTGAAACTATTTCTTTCGTCGCAATTGTACCTGGCCCTCCACTAACTATTGAAGCCCTGCAGAGCCAGTTCCCAGCCTTGAGAAAGAACCTGCTACCCACGCCCATCCCGATATACTTGAAATCTTTCTCCATGCTCCAAGTCCCTCTGAGAGAATCTGAAATGGCTTCTACGAAGGCCGTCATCCTTGTACGCAATGGTCCCATATACGGTGCTGGAATTCGGCTGATAAAAGTCTGTTAGGTTGGCGGACCTTCGAGAGGCACCAGGTTTAGACCTTTATCACTTGATGTTCCAAAGGTAGATAAGATAGATCATCTCCAGCTGCCAGCAACATGCAACCTGCAATGCACGGAGCTGGATGAGAACTTTACTGACAGGATCCTTATGATTGCGCCCTTTAGCCCTTATTTGAAGTCGCCGGTCATCCCATCATCTGGCACTGCCTGAGAGCTGTTGCCAAGGTCCCCGGTATTCGAGAAGTTATTCTTGTAGGGTACTACGACGAAACCGTTTTCCGGGATTTCATCAAAGACTCCGCCAAAGAATTCCCCAAGTTCCGTATCCAATATCTTCGGGAATATCAGGCCTTGGGTACCGCAGGAGGTCTCTACCATTTTCGCGATGCTATATTGAAGGGCAACCCTGACCGCTTTTTCGTCCTCAATGCAGATGTCTGCTGCTCATTCCCGCTGGGGGAGATGCTCAAGCTATTCGAAGAAAAGGATGCCGAAGCTGTTATATTGGGAACTCGAGTGAGCAATGATACTGCCACCAACTTTGGCTGCATCGTGTCCGACAGCCATTCCAAGCGTGTATTACACTACGTAGAAAAACCGGAGTCCCATATCTCCAACCTAATCAACTGTGGTGTTTACCTCTTCACCACTGAATGCATCTTCCCTTCCATCCGCAGTGCAATCAAGCGACGTACCGCGCGGCCCCGCCTCCTCTCTTACCCGTCTTCCGACAATCTCGATTCCTACCACATCGTCAACCAGGATGAAGAGGGCGAAAAACCTGAAGTCCTCCGGCTCGAACAAGACATCCTATCCGACCTTGCAGATAGCAACCGCTTCTTCGTGCACGAGACCAAAGATTTCTGGCGCCAAATTAAAACCGCCGGCTCCGCCGTGCCTGCTAATGCTCTCTACCTACAAAAAGCGTTCCAGTCACAATCTGAGGAAATCGCCCCACCCTCTGCGAACATTGTACCTCCAGTTTACATTCACCCAACGGCCACCGTCGACCCATCCGCTAAGCTGGGGCCCAATGTTTCGATTGGAGCTCGCGCAGTCATTGGTGCTGGTGTCCGCATCAAGGAATCTATCGTCCTCGAAGATGTAGAGATCAAACACGACGCATGTGTCCTGTACTCGATAATCGGGTGGAGCAGTCGGGTGGGCGCGTGGGCACGGGTGGAAGGCACGCCAATACCTGCCGGGAGCCATTCGACAACGATCATCAAAAATGGTGTAAAGGTTCAGAGCATTACGATTTTGGGTAAGGAGTGTGGAGTTGGGGATGAGGTCCGGGTGCAGAATTGTGTCTGCTTGCCATATAAGGAGTTGAAAAGGGTATGTATGATATGATATTTCCCTTCTCCTTTTTTGCTCCTTTCGTAAGTTTCTTTGAGAACAGACATGCCAACGAGCTAACGAAATATTTCTCGATGTGTAGGATGTCGCGAATGAGGTCATCATGTAGAGTGATCTAACCAGTGCAATTTCTGATCTTGTCATCTATGTCCTGTTTTTTACGGCCGTCCATATATTTCCTCTCCGTTCTAGATAAATATTTTTGAGCCAGCGTGGAGACATGCGAGAGGTTTCTTTTTCGTTTTTCTCCTTTATTGAATGAGATATGTTTTTCGTTCTATCATCTTAAATCTTCCGTAAATGACATATATATAACCCGCCTCTGGTTGGAATCCTGTCGACATCTGACATGTATTCCGACAGGGTGAATCGGCATTCCGGAGCTTCCTTCGTATTCGCAGTTAGCTCTCGGCAAACTCTCGCCACCTCCTTTTCAACTTCCATACCTCCTCATCTCGGCATTTTACAGGAGGGGGTGGTATTGGTTCTAGACCGACGACGTTATGATGCTTGAGGTAGAATATTTAAACATCCCAACCTACCCAGCCGGTCTCACAGGCCTTATTTAATTGTGAATAACCGTTAACAATAGCACTTTGGAGCTCAAGCCGCATTGTGTTCTATTGCGCGTGGGAACTATTCCTACAAATATTGTTTTTCTTCAACTTCACACTAGAACCGTCTCAACAACGGAACCAAGTCCTTATAACCTCTATCCACACCTTTCGCAGAAGCAGAGAGACAGTATGCTCTCTACCCTTAACCGCCTCTCCAACTCCCTCCCTTCCGCCGCGCGACTCCCAACCCCAAGAACCTCCGCTCTTCTCCTCTTCAGCATCCTCCCGCTCGCCGCCCCAGCAGCGTGTTTGCTCTACCTCCGCCTCACCACAGTCCGATACATAACTTCTTCAACAGGCCGCTACCGCCGCCCTCCAACAGCGGACAAATCCAAATCCAGCGCCCCATCATCTTCAACCTCGTCGACTCCACCCCACCTACCCCTACCCCCACTTACCCTCCCGGCTCACCTCACCACCTCTCCGGCTCACACAATCATTTACGAGCGTGTAACCAGTCTCCCCATCCCCCTCTCATCCCTCAACAGCGCCGCCTCAACCCCAGCCACCACCACGACCACCACCACCCCGGCCCTCCTGACAACCTACCTCCGCACAACAATGAAAGTTTTCAGTCGCACGCCGCAGGCATACGTGATTCGTTCGGCTCTGAAGGGGAACCCCGCCCACGCTACGTTCGATGACGCCTGCATTGATGCGTTGGAGTTCGTGCCTGGTGATAGGGTTAATGGGGCGTACGTGGTTACGTATCGTGGGGAGGGCCCGTCGCAGGATGGGAGTGGGAGCAGGGGCGGGAAGAACTCGGCAGGTTGGTGCGAGAGAGTGGAGATGAGACTGGAGACACCGGCGGGGTATACGGGCCCCGGACAGGATGTGGAGGGGGTTATCGTTGTGGGTGTTGAGGGGGTAGGGGAAGGAGAACAGGAGGGTATTTTGCTTGTTAATGAGACGTGGATGTGGAGAGGACAGGCGGAGAAACCGGTTATGTTGGAGAGAGTGATTGGGAGGTGGCTGCATGGGCTTTTTGCTGGGTGGCTGGTTGTTAAAGGGACGCGGGCCATTACGGTGTGATTGATGGGTATGTTATCTATATACCCTCAGTTCTTCACCACTTTGCATATAATCAAACAAGCACAGGAAGAAATTCATTTTTATTCAAATGGCGGTGCAAATAATTCATTCCAGTGCACCACCACAGTTACACATATTCATTGCACGAATCAGTTATAATAAACCCGCCCCTTCTCCCTGGCTCCTATCACATACCGCACACAACTTCCTCATCGCTCACTCTCATCCACTCTCCCAGGTTGAGTACTGTACTACGTGATCATCTTGCGTACTTGGGGATCAAATTGAGGTGTCATACGATTCGTATGGACTGGTCTGATATTATACCTCATACCCACGAGGACATGCAACAGGGCTCCACCAACAACCACTCCATCAACAGTGCGTCAAGACATTGCTCCGTGAAGCCCTATCTCCAAACGTTGGCTTGTGGTCGGACCCACTGGTACGGACAATAGCTGAGCAGGTGTGAATGGAAGGGGCGTAGACGGCAAGGAGCGGAGAACCTATCCCCTGGATAACTACTAGTATGCAGGCCAATGCCTAGATTCCAGGGCCTGCTATGTTTGCATATGGACATCTGCCGGCGTCGATGTTATCAACCGTCATATAGGAATTCATTGTACTAAGATGTGGTGCCCACTGACGGCTAACGCAAGGGTGCGCCGTATTGTTGAAGGGGTACGGAACCTCGTACTTATTTTTGCTAATGATTGCTCAACCGAGCAGTTTTTTGCGCCGGAGAGGATCATTCCTGTCACCGAAGGCTTATTTATACTGACTTCATCCTCCGTATAAATCTTGGTCAATGAGACAAACATTGTTACATTGTGGACGCATTTCTTCTCAGCTTTTGCAGATATGCAGTTGAGCTCCTTTCATCTGCAATAATCCACCTTATATGCATCCGACTGTATAGGTCTCGTTCTCTGCCCCTGATATTTCAAACCGAAATCAGCAGAACGCAACTTTTTCTAGTGACAAAAAATGAACCAGGGCAGAAGGGAACCAATCCTCTTCTAGGTGAATTATTTTTCTTTGATGATTTCGTAGGGAATGAGAAGCCAATCACCGTCATTGGGCATACTCAACTCTACTCCCCGGGGCCAGCCTCCCCTGATATATCTTGCGCAGTTCTATATCTTAGTTCTCTCCGAACTACTAGTACAGATCTTTAGCTCTGGATCGACTCTAATATCACACACACCCACCGGGAAACTTGGAAAGTTCCTTGGTCAACCGTCAAGTTGGCGGTGAAAACTCTAACTACTAATCAATAATGAGAGAGATTTATCCCAGAAATTCAAGAAATTTGATCGAACTATTTGTTAGTGAATATTATCGAAGAAAACAACGCTGGCAAATAGAAATTTTGTTTCTGTACCATCTCGCAGGGTCAGCTTCGTTTGTGTTGAGAATATGTCCTCTCATAACAATTAATATTGCCATCCAGCCTAAAATATGCCCAGCATATTTGAACTCGCAGCTCGGCCGAGGTTCAGTTACACCAACCCAAGACTTTCAAGGCCTTTGCCAATTACCCACGGGAGGGTGTTCAATGTGACCGAAATTCGACCCTAATCCTCGTCTATCTGTGTTTGTATCTCCGTCATCCCAACATTGTCCCGTGCTGCCTAGGCCCCTCTCGAGCCGAATGGAAGTGGACTGCATGCTCGATACTTTGTTGGAATACGAACGTATTTCTATCTGGAGGCCTCCATTGACAAACTAGCACGTGTCAAATACGGGAATTAAGAGGTTGCGTTGAGGATTCGCATCCAAAGTCACGGACTGAACATCTAACTACCAATGGCAGCTCACCTCCCCACCCAGGAGACAGGAGTCCGAGAAATCGCCATCTATATATATATATATATATATATATATATATACCGCCCAGCCTAATGCACCCTCCGCGGAGCTCACCACAGTTAAGCAACTGCGCATTTAGGTACTTAACCGTACGTAAACATCGACATGCAGAAGGGGAGACTCCAAATCTCCAGAGCAACACGTCCATGCGAAGTGCCCAGATACCTTCCCAGGTATCTCCTGATTTGGTCCAGAGACCAAGGGCACCCAACGGTCTACTTGCAGGATATACATACATACCTAGGGCTTGCACGACATAAACTACCTCCTTTCCACCCCCGCACGGTTGGGACAGAAAAGCTATCTCTATACTCCGTCACACGGATCCCTAGCAGGATTCCCCCTCTCACAAATCGAGCAGAGCTGAATATAACCGTTCTGGTTACATGTGTAACCCGTCCGTCAGGCTAATGATGACAGACGACCCGACCCCATGGCCGACAGAGGCACAAGCCATGCATCGCTATTGCATATCGCGTGGAATGCCGCTAGACAAGCTAACGGGGTTGGATTTTCAATTTTTATTGCTATGCACTGCGAAGACCGTAATACCAACACTCCCTTGTGCGACATCCTCCGTATCTACTGTACTTCTTCTGCTTCCTCTTCCCCATTTACCATTCGGACATAGTTTGCCCATATAGTACTTCAGTACATCTCACCCACAGGCAGGATTAATTATGAGACAAAACCAGAGCCGAATGGCTAATCCAGTACAAAAAATAAATCTTTTTGTAAAATCATATATATCCAATTTCGAAGGACGGACTGACTAGGAATTATATCCCATCCAACTATATAATTTGCACTGATATACGTACGCACACAAGGAGTAAGGGAAGGGAAGGCATGAAAACGGAGATGGCATAAAACAAATTGACTCTCCAAAATCCACAATGGGGGGGGGGGGGGGGGGGGGGACACACCAATGAAAACAATTCCCGCCCAAAAGGGACTCTGGATTTCGTTGGCGTTAGAATAAGGGCGTGGGGGCATGATGTTTAAACATTAAAATGACAAATCGAAATCGAATCGACTACTAATAGTCCCGGTCTCTCTCTTCTATCTCGTATGGAAAACTAAAGGAATTGGTGAAGAGAGGTTGGTGTGTATACGTCTCCAGACGGGATAAGCCTAATTAAATCCGTTATACATCGCAAACGGTATCACTTTCGGGTGCCATCAAGAGATATCATTTTTTATGATATATGCTCCCGGGCATCAAACCGGGAAAGGAAAAGAGAAATAAAACCCACCTTATTATTTGTCCTCTTACGCACACAGCGTCAGCGTCACATCGGAGTTCGGCTGGCAGTTTCTCGTCTGGCTTCCCCCTGGTGGGACACCATTTTGCCAGAAGACAGTTGGGCACCTGGCATCTGACGCCCAAAGATTCAGTGCATTGGGCTCGAATGGATTGCCAAACACGTTCGACAGATCGTACCAGATCCGGCCGTCGTTGAGGTTATAGGCGTAGATGGTTTGTGCCGCGCCGTTCACCAAGCCACCCGACTCGCGGGTGATCTTAAGAGCAATGCCGCCGCTGACGGGGTCGCGATGGAATTGCTCGCTGTAGCGGCCGCCGTGAGCAGCCAGGTGCTGCTCCGGTCCAATTGAGCTACCAACAGAGTTCAGGAAGACGTCGAAGGGGCAGTTGTTAAATACGATGGCGTTTCCCACCGCATGAACGGCGGGGGCGAGAGCGGCGACGGCGCCGAGGAGTGCGGAGGAGAGACGCATATTGTTTCAAAAGACTGATTGACGATTTTGTGTATTGTTGTGTAAGACGAAGGGTGTTGGGAGGGAGGTGAGGGCAAAAACTCTCTGGTGTCCAAGTCTGAAGATAGGAGATGAACTCCTGAGAGGAAACAGTTGGGGGACGGGGTTGGAATGTACCTTTATACGCTTTCCAGCAGTGCTGCTTGGGCCCAGCTTGTACTAAGCTAATGTCGTATTAGAGAGTAGTAATTCTGTGATACAGCATCATTCCACAGGAATTGAAGAAAATTCGGTTTGTCTTCGTGGCGTTATAACATGTGTCAGAATGGCCAATAAAGAATGCCCCTCTTGGATGATCATGGAATTATGAGCTCCGCAGCGGTGGATATTGGGAAGCCATGCTCAAGATACCCTCGATTTGCCCCAAAATTCAGTAAATCAGCGAGCAGGTATAGATCCCGATATTGACATAGATCAACGCAAGGGCGAATCAACAGGGGGGATGGAGACCTAACTGAGGCAAATGCCCTATCGGCTAGATCATTAATCGAGTTCCGTTCGTATGCACAGGGAAGGAAAGTTGAAATGTCTCAGAGAAGCTGAAGTCAAGCAGCGGTAGTGGCATTTCAGCAATGTCAAATAATTGGGTATTTCGATCTTAGATCAATATCACGCCCTCAAACGCATGTATGACTGAGGGAAGCTCGTGAAAAGCTCGGGTTAGATAGATGTGAGCTCCCGCGACCTGTGGAAGGGACCTGTGGAACCAATTGGCTGAGGCCATCTTGGAACACGCTGGCACCCATCTCATAATGCTTTATCCCTCACAAGCTGTGCTGCGCTTTTCGTGCTCCAGCAACCCCGCTATCAAAAATTTCTGTCAGCTTGCCCTATCAGAACGGTGGTGTGCAAAAATTCTGAGCCAGTGAGCTGGCTGCAGTCAAAGCTGGAGACTGCCGGATGTCAAGGCATTGTGCATTGTGCAAACATGCTCTGACACCAAACCCGTCAAAAACGAGGAATATCATTTTCTATTTTCAACCCTTCGTGCAATACGGGCCATTGCCTGAGATACGACGGCTCTACGGCCGATGATCAGCAGTCAGTTGGAGATTGGACATGTCTTAGTGTCAAGTCCCCGAAGCTGCAGGCTGACCAGCGTGTCTTAAAATACGAGGCCAACGGCTGTTGTCGAAAGCAGAGTTCTTTCAGGCCGAAGAATTCCAGAGCTTGCCCGCATGCAGGACCGCCGATCCCATGAGCTCAGAGGCGTTTTTGATCCTTGCTTGGCAGTGTCTGGGCGATGGCTGGTGCCAGCCGAGCGCCATCCCGCCGCCAGATCTGGTGGTTGATGCTTGATGCACGTCAGAGAGGGTGGCTGCTGAGCTGATGCGATGAACGCAGCGAAGCCATTTGGAATCTGTTGGGTCTGGCGATGAGGAGAATGCGGAATGAACCGCCAAGCAGGCTGGTCTCTCATCAGTGGGAGCTATGAAGGTGACCGAAGGCATGATCGGTCAGCGTTGCTTTATCCTCTAACCTCAGATAGCCAGCTCATCAGTGGATCTGCGCACATTTGCTGCATCGCACTTGTTTTCGAAACTGCTTTGGAGCCTTAGTAGTGAACTACGCTACCCAGTCATGTTACCTATTCTGGTAGGCCAGGAGCATGAGTAACTAGTACCAGTAGCCATCCTAAGAGACTCGTGTGTGAGAGAAAGAGAGAGGAGAAAAAGAGAGAGAAAAAATTTGTTTGCCCACTCACATTCACCCACCTCTTTTAACCTCGGATTGTGTATTCGCGTAATGACTGCTTGAACTTGATATATTGGATTGGGATTGCCAATGTCTTGAGATCCCAAGGCAAATGACGAACCAATATATAGTCCTTTGCGAATCATGAATATTTCGGATGCAATAGTTACCGATGAAAACTGAACATGCAACCCAGACAGGAAAAGAGCACAACGAAAACCAAAAGCAAAAGTTGAAGGAAAAGAAAAAGAAAAAACCTAAGGGAAAAAAAAAAAAAAAAAAAAACCCGTATATCAAACTTGTTAACTTATTTACAGAAAATCTCTGACGATATACGCCCGCGTCATAACGTATCCCGATATTTAATTATCTAATGGAGAGTTCCCTTTCTGACTACCAGAGCCTAAAGGGAAAACCCAAAAGTCCACCCGTGGACTCATATACAACTGACAAGTACAAAAAGGAAGTATTGTACAGGTTCATCCATAGAACAACGTCTTGGGCCCAAATACCAAGAACAGCCCATCACAATAGTATAAACAAAGTGGAAGCCTCCAGACACCCGTTTAGGCGTTAAATGCCACGCTCCTCCTCTTTCCCTGCAGCGCCCGCGCGGCATCGTCATTGGGCTGCGCATCGCCAAATCCACAGCCACCGTCACGTTCCTGCGCGACGACGGGACCGGCGCAAACACCAGAGTTGAACCCGCAGCAGCCAGACGCGCAGTCTGCATCGCTTGTGCATGGGCCTGTGATGAATTGTGTTCCGGGGGAGACTCCGCCTTGCCCTGAGGCACCGGCAACGTTGTTGTTGACGTTATTGCCTCCGTTGTTGCCTTGGGCTCCGTTGTTGCCAGATCCTTGGTCGCGGAAGGCGACAGCTGCGTTATCGTTCGGCTGGGCATCGCCGAACCCGCACCCACCATCACGTTCTTGCGCAACAACGGGACCTGCGCAAACACCAGAGTTAAACCCACAGCATCCAGAAGCGCAGTCAGCGTCGCTTGTGCAAGGGCCTGTGATGAACTGTTTGCCCTGACCGAGGGCAAGGATGAACACTACAGCGAGAATAGATAAAGGTTAGCGATCTGTAGAGGTTCTTGATACAAAGCCTTGATTATTGCCACTCACGGTTGGAAAGGAGGAAAACGGTAAAGAGGCGGCAATTTAAAATAGACTTAGTCATTTTGGAAAAGAGGTGATCGAAATATATGAGATAATGGCAGATTGAGCGGCAAGCTAAGAAGAGGAGGCTTGAAATGGCGAATGAAATGAGGAAATGAAATATAAAACTGCTTGAAAGACTGAGTTAACTATACGGTCCTGTTCGTTCAAGGTGAAATGATGGAAAAGGGACGACATCGTCTCATGCCTCCCTCTTTTATATCTACCAACTCATTGCCATGAGAGCATGAGTCGTATGACTCCCCTGAACTTGAAACCAATCAACCGAGCTTTATGCATTGGAATAAACGCATGAATCAAGAATGCTACCGTCGAAGGTGACAATGAGGAAGAATAAACCTTAGAAACTGCCTCATAACAAGCTCCCTCATCCGAATAACCAGATGGTGCAAGGGGTAATCGGGTTTCAAGGCTGGCTTCAGTTTGACACAGTCCTCCACATGAAGTAGACCGATCTGAGTCCAAGTATACCAGGAGATCAGATGCGGTAGAGGAGTCAAGGCCAAGGACCAGACCGCAGAAACCGACAATGTTCCAGCGACTTCCACAAGGTATCAGCCGCCACCTCCAGGGGCTCTTGGTGAGTTACCGCCTCACTGATTTCACCTATATGCCACGCACTATGCTCATGCTTATCGAGCTTGCACAATCGACGGGTTGAGCGGAGCCAAACACCCGTCCATTATTGTATGTAGTTCTAGCGACTCCAGAAGAACTTAGACTTCGATTTCCGCCAAATATTCGAAGCGCAAAATACAGTTGCCCGAGGAGTTAGAGCTCAGCGAATGGTAAAGTAATCCAGAGAAGAGAACCCGAGTTTGAGGAATTCGAAGTTATGAGGCGCGAATTTCGATGAGTTTCGGGATGACACTCTGGTGAGGGCTTAAGAGTGTGATATTTGATTCGGCGGGGGGATCAGGTTACAAATAAACGCCATTTTCATATTTGCTTTTCCTAAGCCGCTCACAATCAATTCGACACACAAACGCCGGTTGTCACCAAAACTGCAGACTTAAACGCAGCTTCAAGCTGCCAGGCACATTTTTAGTGAGCTGGTTGACAACCGATAATCCGGCTAGAGCTGGTTTCACGAAGCGCAAAGATCAATCCTACCGTGGACGTGCAGTAGTTAGTGGTTACCCTTTAAAAGTACAGTAAGCATTGGAAACAGGCACACAACTCCCCAGACGCTGCTGTTGCTTCATAAAAGCCAGGGGAAGCATCCTCGTACTGGCCGTCCATTCCGCTATGAAAAACCAAGGTGACAAAACCATTTCAGCACACGGGCTTCAAATGAAACCCAAAGAGTTGGAAGTCATGGCGCCGTTCCTGGATTTTTGCTACTACCGTCGTTTTAGTAGTCCGCACGGGAAAAAAAATCAAGACTGTCGACGGAGTTAGCTGAGGACGAGAGACCATCCGATGGTAGACACCAGGGCAAGCGTTGAGTTAGTTACTCCTGAATATGAGGTTCTGGTATTCCGTCTTCCTTGCAGTGGTGTGAACAGCTAAATTGACAGGCAACGTTCGCATGATAATTTCGGTTATACCAGTTGTTAATGACAATTTCAGTGTATAATAACAGATCATTTCAATTATCTTGCATGTAATAGCAGAACTTCTAAAGAATGTTTTTTACTGTCTGTATCATTCCCTCAGTAGCTTCATCAATCTCTAAGTGATATGCTGTCAATAATTTTCATTCAATCTTCAATAACTGATATATATGAGCTCAGAGTGCACTGATAAATTGTCTGTTTTTATCTGATATGATGAATGATGACAGACTGTGCATACAATAAAATGAGTTTTTGATGAATGACATCTGCAACAACTTCAGCATTCATTTTATTATAAAGCTGTAGTATTACACTCTTGTTAACTAAATCAGTTGACAATGACTAAGATATTTATAGAATCTCCACTTTCAGATAAGAAAATTGTAAAATCAATGACTATCATATCAGATTCATTTGAAGACAGATAGAGGTTTTAGTATTTCTTTTCAACATTCACATCATACTGTCACTGAGCTGCAATGATCACAGTTGTATTTTACACGACCTCGCCAATCATGCAGAATTCAACAGACGAAATACCCCGCTAGGAGTTGGCCAAGGAAGCAACTAACTATTAGGCCACTGGGGCAAAAGAGCTCAATCACCACCAGCGCCATGCTGGTAGTAGAGGGGACGAACCAATCCAAACCCCACAACAGAAAGTATGTGGGATGCTGACAAACCCGCCATAGGGGTTAGTTATCATCCATCGCCGACCAACTTTCAGCCAGACGATAACAACATGCTCTGGAAAAGAACAGGAAAGGACGGCGATATCCGCAGCACGACAACCGTGGATGCTAGCCTATGGATTTGTCACTGTGGTGCCGATGACGCCTTCAAATTAGGTCTCATTAAACCGGAAGAACCAGCCCTTTGTGGAGAAAATCTAACTCAGAGGGGAAAGATGGAAATATGTCCAATGCCGTCAAAACCTAACATGACTGTTTTTTTCCCTCTCCAACTATCGCCGCCGAATGGCTTGGTAAGCAAGATAGATTTATAAAGCCATAACAGGAGAACGAGGAGACAGTGTCTCTGTTGTACATTTTAACTCTATTGTGCATGCATATGGGGATTGAAAACCAGTCGCGGTGGCTCTCTCGAAGTGGTGGTGCTTTCACCAATGAGTGATGAAAGGCATCTTTATCATCTTCACACGCCTTTTCGCCGTTGATCTCGTTAATTCTTCGAAAATACTAGGATATAGATTCAATTCAAACACTTCAGCACCTGAACACCTCTCTTCAATATTCTCGATATCCCCTCTTGATACCATGTCCTTCGTCATCGCAGGGAGTGTACCATGGCACGAAGGCGAAAAGAAAATGCACGAGTTGATGCAGTCTCCAGAAGAACTCAATCCCAGCGCTCCTTACTTGAGCCCTGGCGCCGCACATCTGGTGCAGAGAGCGCCGCTAATCGCTCTAGGCACCATTGACAGTCAAGGGCGGCCATGGGCGACTGTATGGGGTGGAGAAGCTGGTCTTGCCGGGCCAGTTGCGCAGTCTATCATTGGTATCAGGAATTTTGTTGATAAGACATATGACCCTGTAGTAGAAGCGCTCTATGGTGGGAAACGCAATGGCGAAGTGGTCAAGGAGGAGGGTAAAGGCCGGTTGATGTCTGGGCTAGCTGTGGACATGGAGGCGAGGAAAAGGGTGAAATTGATGGGGAGAATGGTCGCGGGAAATCTAACTGGGTTGGAGGCAACAGCTCTCGATAAGAAAGGGAATGAACCTATGCATGCTGGTCAAGCCCAGCTCGTTGTTAGAATTGAACAGAGTCTCGGTGAGTTACTGCCATGAGCCTATATATTTGCCCCCTGGGACAGAAACAGCAAGTTAGGAACACTAGTTACACTTCCGCTATTATTTCTTAGGCCTTCCCAGATATTACGGGACCTTTTTTCTTCTGCTAAAGCTTCCCGTTAATAGAGGACATGATTAACATCTCCTGGTGCAATCAAGTAAATACATCTTTGCTAACTTGGATTGATAGGGAATTGCCCGAAATATATTAATCGAAAACAAATCACGCCAGTTGTGCCAAACCCAAAGCTGATATCAAACTCAGCACAACTTTCCCCGGGTGCAATCGAACTTCTTCGCCGGGCTGATTCCTTATTTATATCATCTTACCATGAAGACTCCATGGATACCAACATTCGCGGAGGCCCTCCAGGTTTCGTCCGTGTAGTCTCCAACGATATCAGCGGGGCTGTAATAGCTTACCCAGAGTACTCTGGCAATCGCCTCTACCAAACATTAGGCAATCTGCAGATGACTCCACTTGCAGGTTATGCATTTCCAGATTTTGAAACGGGGGATATCCTCTACTTGACAGGTGCCACGGAAATTCTGGTTGGGAGGGCTGCAGCCGCCCTCCTCCCTCGGTCGAATTTAGCTGTCAAAGTCACGGTAACCAGCGCGAGGTATGTTGAAAATGGCCTTCCATTTCGAGGACAGCCGGGCCAACCGTCTCCATACAACCCGCCGGTACGTTACCTAACCACTGAAAAGGTGGCGCCATCCGTTCAGGTCTCAGACGAGAATTCCACCACAGCGACATTTATAAAAAAGGATATCATCACACCCACCATTGGTCGATTCCGATTCAAGATATCTGATCCCTCGAAAGTCGGAAAGTGGACGCCAGGGCAGTACGCAACCTTTTCTTTTGCCGGCGAACTGGATATGGGATACAGCCACATGAAAGATGATGATCCCACCAGCATCAACGACGACTATATCCGCACTTTCACCGTATCGTCATACCCAGGAAGGGGTATCTCCAACGACGAATTTGAAATTACAGTCAAGAAGCACGGCTCCACTACAAAGCATATGTTCCAATCGAGCGAGCGGAGTGGGGTAGAAGTGCTGCTTAAGGGGTTTGCCGGCGAGTTCAGTTTCAAAGACGGAGCCGAGGGTGCAACCACGCCCCTCGCTTACATTGCTGGTGGGATAGGGATTACTCCGCTCATTGCCCAGCTTCCTGGGATAGATATTTCCAGATTACATCTTTTCTGGTCCGTTTCCGCTCGGGATCTAGGGCTTGTACTTGACACCTTCAAACTCTTTCCAGAGCTGCCCAAATCTACCACTCTCTTCATAACTAGCTCTCAATTTGCAAATAATCCCATTGCCGAAGAAGCAACTTCCTTAGAAGCTATCAATGATTTTGGGGCACAGCACTATCGCCGGCGAATGGAGGCGACTGACCTGGGTGTTGTTCCTGGGGTGGAGGAGTGGTACCTGTGTGCGGGCACTAGTCTGAAGGCTTCAGTGCTGAATTGGCTTGTGGGGAAGAAAGTTATTTATGAAGATTTTAATTACTGAGGCTTCTTTATGCCAAATTTGGTTCGTTTGATATTTTATCCATCTATTGTTGCCCCGTGTCACTGCCTGGCCTTGATCTGTTTCGCTCACGATTTTGCACAAAAACGAAACGTAAATATGGTACTGATGAATTTCAGAGAATGTATATGTTTGTTTCTATATCTTTTGGAGTAAAACAATCCATATTGTTTGTGAAGACACATGTATGATATTATTATTGTTGTTGTTATTATTTGATATCAACCTAGCTATAAAAGTTGCTCAGGGGTTCATCGCATCGAGGCAGGAAGGATGACGTGAACCAGTCTTCTGCCTCGAGCTCAGGAGCATGAATAACTACTAGTCTCCACCACCACAACGGCAGCGCAAAGCAAACAGAACTAATTCCCATGCAATCTACGTATACTTGCCAATATTATCTTGTATCTCAAACTACTTCTCTCCTCTGTCATCAACCGGAATCCGCTGTGTGAAACGACCATACAAGTAATTACCCCTCCCAGCCATGTCATACGAAGGTACGAACAAATTTCTCCACGCCACCGCGGGCAAACTTCTACAAGCAGTGAACAATCCATTTCGTTTCAAAACTATGAGACCAAAGAGCTTACCTATCCCACAGTCGAACATTCTACTACCCCCGCCAACAACAACAACACCAATGATTCATCCAACCCCCACCCCCAGCCCCGCCGCCCTGACCTCTCCTCGTTCTTCGCAACCCTACAAGAAATCACCCCGAACCCCAGCGAGATCCGCACGCGACCATATGCCGTGCCCGTGCCAGGCGACATCAGCGCCGCGTACAGATCGCTCGCGGAGGCCTTAAATGTCATGCGCCATCAAACGGGCGACAACGGGTTCCCGGTGCATGATGGTCGCGACGAGGGTTTGGGAGACGTCGCGGAAAATGAAGATGCAACAGGCGGGGTGGGACTGCTGTCGAGTATGATTGGGCTTTTGTTACGGGAGGCCGAGATGCCGCCAAGGGAGGTGGAGGGGGTTGGAGAGTCGTTTTGTGACGGTATGTTTTATGTTTACCCGTTATTATTAACTACTTGTTATCACGTTCTCCTATACCACATCTCCAGCGTTGTGGTTCTGCTCCCCGTTTCCTCGTTTTCATTCCCCCACCTATTACCATCTCATCTTCGCTAACCCCACACATTCCATACCAGCCCTGGAGCGAGTCCCAACATCCAGCTTGAAACCCTCACAGGCCTGCCCCATTTGCAGCAACCTATTCCTCGACGATCCCTATCCGCTCGTCGTCCGTCTCCCTTGCCACACCTCGCACCTCTTCGATCTCGAATGCGTACGCCCCTGGCTCCGATTACGCGGGACATGTCCTCTTGACCGGACCGATTTTGGCAAGAAGGAGCGTGAGCGCGAGCGCGAGAGAATCGAACGGTTGAAGAAAAAAAGGAGTGGGAATGGAGATGGTGAAGATGAAGACGAGGAATGGGATGGTATGTATGGATGAGTGCCCTGGGTGCCGTGGGATTGGGATGCGAGGGTGAGAAGGGATGGGGGATGATTTCCCGATATTTCGATGTCTAAGGAATGGAAAAGAGGAGAATGTCTACCGTTGCCATGGATTCCTGGGGTTTGGATTTGGATTTTTGAATGTTTATTTGAAATTAAATCCATGCGTGGAGTTAAAATTTGGGTTGGATGTCTCTCATGTGGGCTCTTTTTTTTTCATTATGTCGGCATAGTGCCTAGTGATAAATGAGTTTTCTTCTATTCATTTGTTAATGCTACCCACTTGTATGTGTATGGGAAATCATATGCTCTTGCGCGAATCAAGATTGGACTAATTTCTCCAGATATCTAATTACCCGCGGATGAAGTAAACAAGAATTAAAATGCTCCGCCGATCCCAAAACACCTCATCAAATGCGCCATAAACCAACAGCCCCAAAATAATCCAACATGGACCTTATTTTTTTCGGTCAAAATGTTCACTCCATCATAATCAGCAGCATATTCAAATCGTTCCGACAAACTTCTTTGCCAAAGGTATCGCTCACATATCATCTATCTATTCGACGAGCCTTCAGTTTCCTCAGCTGTCTACGCATCCCTTTTCGTCCGAATCGCCAGCTTCCCTTCGTTGATCACCGCTTCATATCCTTTTTGTTCCAGAACCCCACCTTCATCACTAACAACCTCTCTCGCTTCCAGTTCCTCAATCACCTTTTGATTTTCGCGATTACCCTCGAGCAAAAACTTCAGACATAGCACCGCATGTTCTTTGATGTACGGGTTATGCGCGTCGAAATTCGTGCACGCCAGAATAGTCTCTAAACCGCCGTACTTGCGGATCTGGTTTTGGACTTCCGGGCATTGCCATACGAGCGAGGAGAGGACGAGAACTACCAGCTTCTTTAAGTTGCGCCACTCAAAGTCGGATGGGTCGTCATTGCCTACGGGAGGAGAGTGGGCTCTGGATCCTGGGCTGACAGTTGCCGCATCAGCCGGTTCTTGATCGTTCGGATCGTACGGTCGTTCGACCGCAACAGGAACGTTGCTTGCACCTTGCGCCGCTGTTGCATCTTTTGGCGATTGGGTAGCAGCACGTGAAGCTGCAGTGGCGGCGGAATTGATGGAGCTCAGTGATCCTTTAGGTATACTTCCCTCCAACTCTTTGAGAAGGGTAGTCAGATCGTACACAATCTCCCACTGGACAAGAAGGTTTTTCCAGCCGGTGTTTTCTGTGAGGACGGCGAAGAATTCCAGAAACTGGTAAACTCCTTCATACACACGTTCCATGTCCCAAAGGTTTAGTGGAAAGTCCTCAGGACGTGCATGGCCCGCGCGGATTTGACCTTGGAGATAAATCAGAGCACAAGTTTCAGGGATAATGTTGCCCCGGAATACGGTAAAGATGTAGCGAACTGTAAACACATCAACCTTTGTGACGGGGACAGAGCTTCTGCCAGTGGGTGTCTCAGTTGCTGAGGTGATATTAGGAGGTGAATACTTAGCGCGGAAAATGTGCGTGAGGATTTTAATTACTACAGCCTGGGCGGGCGAGATGATGTCCTTTGCTTGCCCGAAATCCGAATAAGCATGAGACATCAAACCATTCTTAAGCACAGCTTCCATGATTTGAACCATCATCTTAAAGTAAAATTCCTCATCTGGAAGGTCCCAGGCGGCAATGAAAATCAATAGCTCGCGGAGAAGGTTTCTACCAGTCTCCTGGGTAAGAAGGATATGGCAGCGGACCGCCTGCATATTTTTATTCCCCGATCGTTCTCCACCCTTAAGGCCGAAACTATCAACAATACCTGCTTGGATAATCATCGGCAGAGCCTCGATTTCCGCAGGGCCTAGGACGAGAGGAATATCTGTGAGTAAGCCACGTTGCTGGTCCCCAGGTCGACCTGTATAATCGTCGTCATCATCCTCGTCATCTTCTTCCTCGTCAACGCTGCCATCTGCCGCCGCCTCTAGGCTACGCGAGTCATCATCTGGTGGAATACCATTACCATCCATCGACTCGTAATGTAACTCCCCGTTGGCCATGATAGGCGAGGGCTCTTGAAGTCTAGCCATCAACTCGTCTTTCGCTTCCTGTAAGGTCTCTGCAGCTGACTGGGGGGATCGCGACATTGCGGTGTCTTGAGCGGTAACTGGTGCGTCGACCGCGGCTATGGCGCCGTATTCCTTTAAATCTGGCAAATCGGTCCAACACGTCCGTGGATAACCCGTCGTAGCACTCCGATCGATGCTGAGAATCGCCTTTTTCCTGGTCGGCTCCTCTTCGACGAGGGCGGTTCCATCTTCACGGAATCGGTCCTTCAAATCTGCCCAGCCTTCCATTTTGGCTGACAAAATTGCAGTAAGCGCAGCACGGATTTCTGTCACTCGGTCTGGATCCTTACCCATCTGTTGGATTTCTTTAAGATTCCGGCCCAGAAGCTTCTCCATGTGATCCTTTACGTTGGCCAGTAACATCATAGCCGCTTCCTCTTTCGACGATGCCGGTTCTCTGGGAAAAGTTGAAATCGTTTCTAGCAACATATCCTCCGCGTTTCGGTTGTAGATCGTGCGCAAGGGTGGACTAACAAGTCGTACCCCCGCTCTTACAACTGGTGCTACACCTTGTGGGGGGGAGCCGCCAGCATCCAACGGCTGCTCCATAGGTGTTATTATACTTGACTCGCCATTTTGATGATAACCAAAGAGATCAAGCCACAACACAAGTTTCCGATGTTCGTTATGCATGATAAAATTATGGAGGAACTGGAGGCAAGTGATTAGTAGCCGTTTGTAGAGATTAACAACTTTTTGCCATCTTTCTTCATTTCTAGCGTTGCTTTCGCCATCGTAGCCTCTGGCAGTAACTCTGACGCATGTGTCAATTAGCAGCAAGATTCTTTGATCAAAACCCTTCTCAGCAGCCAAGTTTTGTGCCTTCTTCGTCGTCGCAAGTAGATTGCGCGCAATTGTACAAAGATCGTTCAACCGTTCAATATCCTTTACCAGCGAGAAGTAGTTATACGCTATGAGGTTGGAGGACGATTCTTCGCAGTTTCCGGGAGCCGCCAACGATTGTGTTTCGAGAACGGGGATGGCTTTGCTCAAGACGTCGGTGAGGCCTTGCCATATCGCCGGTGAAAAGCCCAGATTCTGCCTATTTTGAAGTTAGCAAGACTCAAACGGTGCATTTTCTTTCTTTCTTTCTTTCTTTTTTTTTTTCAATTACAAGAAATAAAAAATAAAACTACAGAAAATTCCCGCGTTCACAGTGATTGTCCAATCTTCAAGTGGGATTGAATGAGGGACATGCAGAAAAATGGCTTCTTCATACCTTACTTCGCTTTCCTGATGGCTCTTATAAAGAATCTGCTTCCCAGAAAGCAACATATGCTCTAACCGTTTATCATCAATCATACCCCGAGTCTCATAGTGAGTCAAAGTCCCGGCGAGAACCACCCTCAACAGCAGCTCAGCCGGAGTGCACTTTGGCCCACCATCGTTTGCAGAGCGCTCCGCAGCCCCAAAGCTTTGGGCTGTTGACATTTCAGATCTGCGGGAGGATCTATATCCTCAAAAAGAAGAGTAAATATCCCAGCTGCAACCAACCCCCCCAAAAAGAAAGAAGAACAAAAGTTTTCGGGTAAGTTACTTGATGCGAACCGAATTCTTCCAGCAGCTTCGCGGTCTTGGCATCTGAGGAACTAGGTTCTTCCGTTTCCCGGCTTCAAAGAAGAATATATAAAGTGCTCTGCAACAGTTATCAAGTACTATCCGGTGATATTTCCCTAACTGGTTATTTCTGTCTAAATTACATGATCATCACGTATGCCATTCACTGTAGCAAATCATCGACGGAGGTGCAGGGCGTCTCTCAAATTCGCCCAAAACCCGCGATCGTAAATATTCACCACATCCTTTAGGCTCTGTAATCTCATCCATCTTATATCGGCGATCGCGTCCAGGTCCCCGGGCTGCACTATCGAGCTGCATTCCCTAGCTAGAGAAAACCCGACCCTTGGGGGATTTCCATCATCCGTGAATATCAGGGTTTGGTCAACCTGAATTGGCCACGGAACGTAAGGTTCGACGATGTGGGCATCTGGGTGTTTTTGGGGGTATATTTCGCTTTTCCTTGCCTTGAATACAAGTCCATCCGCAATATCATCTCGCCAATCACCCCACTTTGCGCTTTCGTTGGTGGTCATACCGCTCCAGATCAGGTACACATGGTAAAGAAACATGGCAAGCGGCAGCAGTACAGTCAGCATTGCCAGCAAAAAAACTCCTCCAACGACAATATCATCGGCAATTGCATATCCCCATAATTCAAAATACATTCCCCATTCAATTCCCTCCGCCCAGTGCTTAGAGCGCATTGCAGTAGGAAAACTTAGGACTAAGGTGTCCTGTAAATACCGGTCGAGTATCGAGTATCCCAAATATGTTCCATAGGACAGTAGCACAAACATCGACAGCAGGAGTGCTAAAAAGTAGCGGTAATTGTTTTCACCAACGCAATTCATCAACCATACACAATGGTGATCGTGCCTAGAGACACATACATTGCAAATGCTGCAATGCTTACTTCGAGCAGGCTTCAAAGTATGGCAGGTTCGGCAGACATAGCCCGGATGGAACAAGATTCGATCATAGGGATATGATCGCATGTGGTCTTCAATGTTCTCCCGCGTGATAATGGAAGTTGTAAAAACAGAACTATATAAGAGCCAATATGGCAATATAGCAATGACTGGAATGCATAGTTTGTGGAATACCCCGATCCTTGACCAGATGGCGGGAACAAATACAACTTCGGAGCCGACCAGCAGCACAAGGAAGAATATCTACAGCCCCATGAGTAAGTCTGAGAATGAAATTTATTGTTTTTGATAGATACATACCAATATCACAGGATGGTTTTCATACATTAAATAATGTCCAGAACGGCTTCCCCATCGTGAGACCCGGGAGCCAAAAAAGACACCATCGACCAGGCGCAGAAACTTGGGGATATGGATCCAGATGATACGATGCAGCAAGCCAATAGGAGTTTTTCTAAAAAAAAAAAAAAAAAATAAACCCAGCTTAGTAGAATTCGGAGTCGTAATAAAGAGGTACTCATAAAATGAAGTCGAATACCTCACAGCTGGTAGTCTCCCAAACAGAGCAACGAATGTCACGAACGACAAAGCAAACACCACGGCAGCAACAGTTCCCAGTGCTCCCATCTTGTTCGGGGTGCTTGCTCTGTGTCGCGCAGCGAAACAAATCAAATTAACAAAAGGGAAAGCGAGTGGAAATTGTCCAGTCGTTAGGCCCCGACCTTCAAAGGCCCATCTCGAGGCTGGAAAATCTGCTTTTCGTCCTCGAACTCGAGCTGGATTGTTGTAGATAGCCTCGGCTTATCGCCACGTGACTCTCCCGTCATCAATCGCGTCCTATAAAATTGGAAAAGGATGGCAGCAACATACAAGCTTTAGAACTATGCTCGGTGCGTTTAACATAGACGGCTGTTTACAAAAGGCACTTGTCGAATATGACAAGCCCCACTGTGGTCTATTCGGGTGTCTCTAGTACACACGATGTTGGCGGCGTTTTGTTCAAGGACACAAAGTTTTGGCTTTCAAGAACCGTCCCATCAAGGTCATGGATAATACAGCAGATTCAGGTGAGCTTGTCCAGAAATCACTTTATTGCTCTATTACTTATTGTGATATTAACAACTCCCTAGGCCAACGGTGGGAAAGTAGTATTATTAGAGAAAGATGCTGATGTACTTCTTGTGGACCATATGAGAAGGGACAACCCTCCTGGCTCGTTCGTAAACCCTATCATTCTAAAGATATGGCTTTTGTTCACCTAGATAACATGTCGGTAGAACTTCTTTCCAGTATATTGAAAAGTCCATCCGGAGCGGGAAACGGGAGAGCCTAGAAGACCACCGCGCTGGTCCACAAGTTGGGTATTTCCGTCCTGTTGGGTCGACCACCACCCGCCAAAAGAGCTACCGATCCGCCTTTACTGCGAGAGATGATCAAATTCTATATGACTGGGTGAAGCCTTTTGAAGAAAAAGGGGGCCACATAGGAGGAAATAAAATTTACCAGCAACTTTCTGAAAAGGTACTTTTCACCCCGACCCTTTATATACGTCCATACTACAGTTGTTAAGGATGAATAAATTCAGTATTCGCATCATACATTTCAATCATGGCGCGATCGTTACCTAAAGAAAGTCAAAGATCGCCCACGACCTGTCGCCCCGGAACCAACTGTCCCCAAAACTAAAAGAGAACCCAGGACTGACGAACGGCAGCAAGTGGACACATCTAACACTCGAACCCCTCGCTCTGGCAGCAACAGATATAAACATTTTACAGAGGAAGAGAAAGAAGACTTGCTCCGTCATATAAAAGATATTCTTAATATTGATGACGGCAAGGAAGATGAGGCCTGGTCGGCGTATGCCGAAAATGTATGGTGTCTGCAAAAAAAAAAAATGAATCGTGCATTGTTTCCACTTTTCTAACCAAAACTTATGACAGACCGGCAAATCTGTTGCGGAATGGAAATCTTTTTTCCAGGACGTTATTCTGCCAGAATACTGGTCAAGAAAATCTAGAAATACCGCTTCTCATCAGGCTCTACCAGTAGCTCACCATGATATTGCTGCCTCTTCTTCAATTCGCGCGAAATCTCCCGAGAAACAACATAGTGAAAAATACAACCTTATGTCCTTTTCAGAGAGTGGGAGCCAACAAAACTTGACTCCTCTGGACAAACAGCGCATAGATATTAGAAAACGACGACGGAGCGCAACACATCTTCCTGCCACTGAGGGTGAATCTGAAAGCCGGAAACGAAAAACTGTCGAACCCACCGCTCGAGCAACGACATGTCCGTCAGTTGCAAGACAGCAACCTGATAGAGCAATGACTTTTACGGCTTCGCCAACAAACTCTCCCGGCTCATCTATTCGGGAACCGAGCACACATTCAAAATCCCGCTTCCCCTATCCTAGTAATAACGAAAATTCCACCTCCGCAAGCCGCGCCGTATCTACCACCACCACCAACTCAGCATCAGATGACCGCTTTGAAACCGCCCCTCAATTCCGACAAGACACTTTGGAAAGTCATTATCAAACGCCTCCCCAGATCCTAGATCGCCGACACGAGTTCAACGGCTCTCCAACCCCGCAACCAACCCCAATTACTGAAACAAATGCGCATGCTGACGACAATCCCTCATCCTTGCCAAACGACCAGCCCTCCATCGAACGTCTGGATAAATGGATCGCCTCCAAAACCGCTGGTCCCAAGGCTTCCACCGAGCAGCAAGTCCTCGAAGCGCTGGCATGCACCACTATGGATCCCGACCTAGCTGATACCGTTCTCGAAGCAATGGCAACTGGGAAGGGATACCTGACATATTAGGGGCATTTGGAC